TGGGTAAAAATTTATGAAATCATCCAGACCATGACACCCTTACATCTCAGAATTTGTTTATTTTTACACCACTTGCAGTCCATATCAAAAAAATAATAACTACGAAAATTTTAGTTAAAAATACCAATGGGTTCCATAGATATTGTCACTTGAAATAATGCTGACTCAGCATTTTAGTGATTTTCTGAAGCGACTACAAAGCAACTTTGACATATAGTATCTTCATAATGGCTTGGGGAAATTTCCTAAAATTTGGTACTCTAATAGATTTTAACTTGAGGAATCCAAAAATAGCACTCTTAAGACTCGATTATCTCAAGAAATGCCTCATTTATCCAATTTTGTTTAAAATTATTGACTTGTAAATTAGTGATTTTTGGAGGTAAAATAAAGACTGTGGCCCAAAATCCTGAGTATAAATTTTAATTGTATATCATTATTTCATCTTAGGTCTACTGAAAAAAATTAGATTCATCAATTGTCTCTCTAATACGTGATCAAAATTTGCATTTAAAAATGGTGTCTTTTTAGAAAAATTTAATTTTTGTAACAAAAGCAATTAAAATATTTTTTAAAACATTTATTTGAATAAAACATCAAATAGTGTCATTTATTGAATAGTTTAGGACATTTATAGTCATGGGCCAAGGGAGATACCCTCCATACCCGCGGGAGGCCCCTACACCCCCTCCCCCAATCTCCCTAGATTTTTTTTTTTTTTTTTTTTTGCATAAAATGAATAAATAATGCAAAAACATACAATTTAATTTTAATTTTGAAAAAAAAAATTTCATTATTTCAAATTGGTGACTTAAAACCTCCTTTTATATAAAAAACAAACATAAGTTTTGTTTTGTTCTTTTTAAAGATATTTACTTGTTTGTATTTTATTAAAGAATTACTTTTAATTTTATAGTTTTTATATTATTTTGTTAGGTAATAAATAATAAAAATAATTAATATGGAGAAATGTGACATTGGAAAAAGTCTTAACATTCATTGCCACAAAACTGGATTTTCAAGAAAACAAGGTTTTGTTCAATTTAAAGATCTTCCTTGTGAAAAACAAGAAGAAATAATATGGCGAGCAAATTTAAAGCAAAAATATAGTTCAATAAGAATTATATGTTGTTATCATGAGCAATTCTATGGAAAATATTTTGAGAGAAAAATTACAAAGTGTTGCAATCCTTTTGGAACACACAAGGAAAGTAAAAAAATTGCTATAAAAGGTAATCTTACCTTATTTACAACAGAATTGATATGGAAATTAAAAAAAAACAATTTATTATTTATAAAAAGTTTTATAATTTCAGTTATTTTAACAACGTAAAACTAAATTTGTTTTTTAGGTAATATAAAGATTTCCATAGACATGGCAAACTATTTGCAAAAAAATAATGTTTATGTAACCCCAGGTTGGAAATTCTGCAGTAAATGTTACAAAAAAGCAATAGAAACTGATGAAGATTTAAATTCACAGGAGGAATGGGAATCAAAAAGTGAGAAAAAAATTAAGTTAGATACCACTATAGAATTGCTTGGAATCTCACCGGTCAAACTAAAAAGTCTTTCAAAACACAGCAAATTGCCTGTAGCAAAACAAAAGTTTGAGAACACTATTGACAGAGTTGCAAAAATGGTCTCATTAGCATATAATATTAAAGAAACCTTTAACAACAGAAATAAAAAGCCCCATTTTAAACAACAACATTAACAATGACCATGATCTAGACATTTTAATGTATGAAATAAAAAATAAAATTTCAGAGACTGACTCTTATCGCCATAAGGTGCAAATGTTAACACTCGCACCAAAATCATGGACACGTAAAAAGATATCAAGCTACTTTGAAGTGTCTGAGTATCTTGTTCGAACAGCAAGAAAAGTTAAAAATGAGAATGGAATTCTATCATTACCCGGGAAAAAAACTGGAAACCCACTTTCACCAGAAACAGTTAATTTAGTGATTAACTTTTATCAAAGTGATGAATTTTCAAGAATGATGCCAGGAAAAAAAGATTATGTAAGTATTAAGAAAAACCAACATGTTCAAAAAAGATTATTGCTACTCAATCTTAATGAATTACATGTTGCATTTAAAAAAGACTACCCTAACGTCAAAGTCAGTTTGTCAAAGTTTTGTACTCTTAAACCTAAATGGTGTATTACAACTAATGCGTCAGGTACCCACAATGTGTGTGTTTGCATACATCACCAAAATACAAAATTTCTCATTGATGCCATTAGGTGGAATAAAAGTTATAAAGATTTCATGGCATTGATTGTTTGCTCTCTTGAAAATGCAGAATGTATGTTGCATCGATGTAACCAATGTCCTGGTATTGAAGCGTTAAAAAGTTTTTTAGTGCAGGAGTTTATGGACCATGAGCATGAAGAAGATGTAGTATTTAAGCAATGGCAGAGTACAGATCGTACAACACTACTTTCACAGTCATTGCCACTAGATAAATTTATTGATTTATTATGTGACTGTATTGACAACCTTACCACTCATTCATATATTGCAAAAACACAAAGTAGATACTTAAAAAACTGTAAAGAAAATCTTAACCAAAACGAATGCTTAATTTTAGGAGATTTTGCTGAAAACTATCAATATGTTGTTCAGGATGAGGTTCAAAGTTATCACTGGAGCAAAAGTCAACGCTCACTTTATACAGTTGTACTTTATTTTATAGAGAACAAACTTCTCAAACATAAATTTTTTTGTTACCTTTCAGAAGATGTTGATCATGACACAGGATTTATTTACAAGACTCAGGAAGATATAACTAGATATATCAAAGAAAATCTACCTGATGTATCAAGTGTGAAATACTTTTCTGATGGTTGTGCAGCACAATTTAAAAATTTTAAAAATTTTATCAATCTTTGTCATCACAGTAAAGACTTTGATTTAAATGCTGAATGGGTATTTTTTGCTACCAGTCATGGTAAATCCCCCTGTGATGGTATTGGTGGGACTGTTAAAAGAGTAGTATGTCAAGAAAGTCTAAAACAAATAACTACTGGGCAGATTTTAGATGTTAATTTAATGTATTCCTTTTGTAAAGCCGAGATAAATGGAATTTATTTTAAGTTATTTTCAAAAGAAGAAATTGATCAAACACGAGCACAATTAGAAAAAAGATATTTAGGTGGAAGAACAGTTCCTGGCACAATGATGTATCATCATTTTATTCCAATTGCTCCAAACACTATAAGTTATAAAAAAATAAGTATTGATGCATGCACTGAAATATTTGATATCATTCCAAAAAGCAAACATTATGTAGATATTTCATTAAATATTAAAAAAATGGATTATATTGCATGTTTTTATGATGGATTTTGGTGGGTAGGGATTGCTGAAGATGTAAGTGAGCTTGATATAAAAGTCAGATTCATGCATCCACATGGACCAGGTAAAAACTTCTTTTGGCCAATAAGAACTGATGAGTGTTGGGTGCTCAATTCTGAAGTTATATGCCTAGTTTCTACACCCACAACAATATCAGGTCGTACATACAACATAACTAATTTAGATTTGGAGAATATAAACTGTTGGTTACAAAAAAAAATTAATTATGCTTAAAATAATTTTGTTTTTATTTTATTTACCTGAAGTATCGCAAATAAATCGTTTCTCAAACTTAAACTGAAAAAATATGTTTTTAAAATGTATTTTAACAATCAACTATTATTTATTCATTTTATGTAAAAAAAAAAAAAAAATCTAGGGAGATTTGGGGAGGAGGCAGAGGGGCTTCCTGTGGGTAGGGAGGGCATCTCCCTTGGCCCATGACTTTAAATGTTTATTTAAATTTAAACTAGTCAATAAATAACACTATTTGGTGTTTTATTTAAATAAATGTTTAAAAAAATATTTTTATTGCTTTTGTTACAAAAATTAAATTTTTCTAAAAAGACATTATTTTTAAATGCAAATTTTGATCATGTATTAGAGAGACAATTGATGAATCTAATTTTTTTCAGTAGACCTAAGATGAAATAATGATATACAATTAAAATTTATACTCGGGATTTTGGGCCACAGTCTTTATTTTACCTCCAAAAATCACTAATTTACAAGTCAATAATTTTAAACAAAATGGTGTAAAAATAAACAAATTCTGAGATGTAAGGGTGTCGAAAATTATTTTTTTTGGATGATTTCATATATTTTTACCCTAATATAACTTACATTTTACTTACTTACAAAGTAAAGTATACAATTTCAAAGATTTATTTGGAATTGTAAATAACAATTTTTTTCAAATTACTTTTATGTAAGCTGTCTTTGCTAATTATTTACCATTACAATTAAAAGTAATTTGTTTTTACTTTGTAAAGTAATTGTTACGTTTTTTTAAACATTATATTTACGTAAGATTAATTTAAAAATAACTTTTTTTTAAGAAAATATTCTAAATTTTTTACATAATTATAACCTAAGTTAAAGTAAATTTTAAATTACTTCACTTGACCATTAAAAGTAAATTACATTTGCAAGTAAAGTAAACAGCATTTTAATGCAAATTACTTTTACTTGTAAAAATAAATTACTTTTTCAAGTATCAGTTACCCATCTAAAGAATAAACTTAAGAAATTAAATTTTACATGTTGTATAATTTTTATGTAAAAAAATTAATTACTTTTAAATCTAAGTAAATTATATATTTTAATATGAGTTATGTAAAGTAATTTACACTTGAAAGTAATTTGTTTTTACATGAAAATAAGTAAAAGAGCCATCCCTAGTGAAAAACAATCATCTGCTGAAGCTGCTTTCAGTGTTTGTTATGTTCTTACTCCTGAATTTATTTTTTACCTTTTACTTTTATGCTTAAGTATAGATTACTGTTTTATATTTAGGATGATTCTTTTAGTGATCCTTTAAAAGAAACCATTAAATGATTAGATTTAAAAAAGAACTTTTTTTCTAAATTTATCAAACCAATTTTATTAGATTAATTTAAAGGAAAACAAGCTTACTCAACTTCATCAACTTCATTTAAAGTTAAAAGATGGACACCATTAGTGACTGTTTTGTTGTAAACAAGGGAATGGATGTGCATGGTCTCATTATCATGTTCTGCTGCTAACCGCAACACCACTTTTGCTCGTTGCCCATTTAAGTTATGAACCTGTCAATTTTTTAAAACTAAACATTTGTAAACTTGTATATAAAAAATGCTGTGTGTATGTAATAACAAAATATAGATACATGGGTAATAGGAGTGTTTAAAAAATTTAAAAACACGAATACACAAGAAGCCATATTTGGGGCAAATATAAAAAAAATACAATTACAAAAAAAAATTTCTAAAAATATTGACATTCACATTGTGCTCAATCGTCAAAACATCCTGAAAAAAACCCCAAATAGTTCCCGAGTAACTTGGCTTTGAGCGCAAGGTAAATCTCAATACTTTGTAGTTTGTTTTTTTTAAATGTGCTCATAATGGTCCAATTTTTTTTTATAGGTTGTTGTGTATCCTGGTTTTTTCATAACTGTTGTTTAAATTAAAAAAAAATTGCAAAAAAATATGAGGAAAAAACTTTTAACACGCATTTAACAAAGGAATTAAATTTTCATTTAACATTAAATGCGTGAAGACACTTAAGTGTTATTTCAAGTCTACTTTTGTTTGCTTGCTTGCAATTTTCTATTGCTTTCATTTTTTTATTTCTTTTATTTTATTTTTTATTTCATTTTTTCATATTTCATTTTTCTCAAGTAATAAACGAGTTTTCTTTTAACCTTTTTAAAAGTCATTAAAAAAAAAATGACAACAGTGAATTAACATTAATGTATATTGCAAAATTCTGCAGCAAACATTTTAGTTTCGTCCCATATTTTTAACAAAGTGAATGTCATTTCTTTTAAAATAGTGTTGCATATTGTTGTCAAAATGTTGTTAAAATTATAAAGTTTGATAGAAAATAAGAGTCACAAAAAGTAGTGGTGAGAAACTTTTAAAAATAGGTAAAGAAAAGCGAAATAGAAAAATGAAAAAAACATTTTAATATTGAGAAAGTCAAACCAGCAATACCAGGTAAGGAATTTGTTACGAGTTCTTTTTCAGTTTTAAATATTATTTCAATAAGATTTCACGTTGCAGAGGAGCAACCTTACTAAATTTTTTTTTTTTTAGTTGATCAACAGCAAACTGGATTGGATACTTTACAGCACATTGCTTTTAATCAGTCCATGCTTCCTAAAACAGCAAAAAAGTCTTTAATAATTGCTTGATCAGTAAAAAAAAAAAGGAAATATGAAAGGTGTGTTAAACAGGATTGTAAGTGTATTCTTAGCCAAATAAAAGGTTAAAGCTGGATTTCCTCTTCAATCAGATAATAGCTTGATTCAAAAGCTGAATAAGTTGAACAATTAATATTGTAATTAAAAAAAAAATGTGCACAGGATTTAGAATTGAAAAAGCAACAAGACTTTAGAAAAGAATTGGGAAAAATCTTTTGAGCAGGAATACCTGACTTACAAAACTGGATAAAAAAGGACAAAAACTTAGATATCCAACTTAGATAAGAAAGAGGACCTAGAATTAATATACGATCAAAAACACAACAGGAAGTTATTTCTTGGGCCAGAAGACAAGAAATACAGTAAGAAGATAATCCATTTCATAACCTTTTACTGAATTTATAAACTCACCTTTGGCCACTTTTTCCATTATTGATTTTTATTTTTGATTCATTACTTTTTACATTACTATTTTTTTTAATTTGACAAACTTTTGATGAAGAAATTTGAAAAGATTAATATTAAATAATAATAGTTGTTTAAATTTTGGAGAACACAAGAAAAAGAAATCCATCTAGAAAAGATGCTGCAAAATCAGCGGAATTAAGTTTAGAGTTGGAATTTAGTCCGGACATGAGCAAAGATTTATCGTTTGATTCAGATTTTGACCCAAGATATGAGCGTTCTGCGGAGTCTAACAGTATAATAAAAGCTGAATTTCTCGAGGTAACATTTCTGGTAATTTTGCCCTAATTGCTACTATTTCTAATATTTCTCACAATGTTTTGACAAAAGTTACTGCTGCAATCCTTAATAGTTCTAGCGTTGATCTTACAAATATAAGTTGCAGCAGTTCAACAGCATCTAGAAAGATGAAACAGCCCAAGAAATAGCAGTTATTGCTAAAGAAGATGTCGAACTTAGCATCCAAGCGTCTCTCTACCCATGCATTGTTCATTTTGATGGAAAAACACTTTTCGAAATCAATAATGGAAAAAAACTAAAGCATAACAGACTAGCTGTTCTGGCAACAATTGATAAGGAGTCATATCTTCTCAGTGTTACACCATTAGCTCTTCATCAGGGAAAGATCAGTATAATGGGGTGATAGAACTCCTAAAAGAGTACAATTTTGAATCAAAGATCGGATTACTTTGTTTTGATACAACATCAAGCAATACAGGTATACATAAAGGATCTCTAATAAGAATATCTACTGCGCTAGATAAGTATTCATTTCTATTGGCTTGCAGACATCATGTTTCTGAGTTGAGAATCACACACTTCTGTGAAGCTGTAAAAAATGAAAAAACTACAGCCTCTGATAATCTTCAGTTTAAACAATTCAAAAACTTATTCGTGCAGCCTAATTTGTAAACCATCTTTTTTAGTTAAGTTTTCTTGGGAAGAAGTTAAGGGAACTGTTGTTGAAAAAGCTGCTACAAAATCTCTCGATTATTGTAGGTCTTATTTATCAAGAAATGATATTTTCATGGAAGATAGAATAGAGTTAGCAGAGCTAGTGGTCAGCAATCTTTCTGCTTCTAACATTAAAATTAAAGAGGCTGGAGTTGTTCATCATGCAAGATTTCTAGGGAAATCTCTATACTATTTAAAAATGCAAATTCTTTCAAATCAAATTGATTTTCTTCAAAAAAACAAAGAATATGTTAAGTTGATAACAGAATTTGTTGCTTTTATGCAAAGTCTGCAATCAAATGATACAATATCTGCAATCAAATAATACAATCAAAGCTCCTTATATGGATGTTACTGCCATTTATCAAATGCATCAGTATAAAGCAGTATGTGCATAACCAGATGCTGTAAATACTGTGTTAAATTCTTTATTCAAACATACATGGTATTTAGACTTAACACTGATTCCTTTAGCCTTGCTGGATGATGGCGTTGCACTAGAAAAAAAAAATTCCTGCTGCTATATTAATATATCCAAAACCAGCGTCATAAAAAAAGTGTTAACACTTGAACTAAACATTCATCAACAACCTCCTACCTTAGCTCCTTTGGTTGATGAATTCTCCTGGTTAATGCTTGAGATGATTGGAATAGATGAACAACAAATTGAAGACTGGCTGACCTTGCCACTTCAGTATTGGCTCACGCAATCTTCATATAGATCATTTCTAAACTTTGTAAAAAGCATTGTTTGTGTAAATGACCATGCTGAGAAGGCAATTGAAATAATGCAACAATTTGTTCACTGTTACAGAGATGAGGAGAAAAAACAAAATAGACTTATTGCTGTGGACAAAGTTTGTTCAATTATTAAGGCACCAGACAGCAAATCGTTATCAACCAAGAAAATAAACAAGCAAGTATTAAGCAAGAAAAGAATCACAGATGGATTACTTAGCATATGCTCCAAAATACAGAAGATAAATTGAATTTTAGTATTAATCAAAACAAGATATAAGTTACAAAAAATAAAAAGTTTCATTTAACTTTAAAAAATTTTCTAAAAAGATTAAAATAAAATGAAATTTCTTTTTGAGACGTCGAACAATCTGATTATATATAAGTCATATAAGTCTAGAATTTTAATGCATTTTTTTGTTAAATACGTGTCAAAAATATTTTTTTTTGCATATTTTTTTGCAAGATCTTTTTTTAAATTAAACAAAAAATATGAAAAAAACTAGGATACACAACAATCTAAAAAAAACTTGGACCATAATGAGCACATTTTTAAAAAAAAGTTACAAAATATCTTGCACTCAAAGCCAAGTTATTTGGGAACTATTTGGGGCTTTTTTCAGGGTATTTTGACGCTAGAGCACAAGGTAAATGTCAATGTTTTTGGAAAATATTTTATGTAATCGTATTTTTTAATATTTGCCCCAAATTGGGCTTCTTGCGTATTTGCGTTTAAAATTTTTTTTTTTTGACCACCCCTAATGGGTAATTCCATGTAAAAGAAGGACAATCATTTCAGTCACCCCTTAGATTTTCTTTAAACTTTAACCACTGGTACCTATTAATGAAACATGAAAAAATGTAAAGTTTGAGCTCCAAAATTCAAATGGTTCAAAAGTTATGACATTTTGAAATTTAGCCTAAATCATCCTTCTTTTAACCAAGTCTACCATTATGGTTTTTGTTGTTGTACTTTTTAATAAATAATTTAAGTTCTAGTGTAAGAGTATGGCTGATACCTGGCCATTTTTGAGATTGATTAATTCAAAAATGTAGAGATACTAATGAAATTTAAAAATTTTGATATTAATTTTTTGATTTTAAAATGGCCAGTCAATTTTTTTTTGCGCTTTTACAATGGATTGCACTTTTACTATCTCCTTGTTGCCCAAGTCTCACAATTCAGATTTTTTTAATGAATGAGGAGAACTTAGGCTATCTTAATAAAAAAAGATTTAGATGGGTTTTGAAGCATAATAAAAACATGTCATTTTGAAATTTAGACTAAAAAAATTTTTTTTTGGACTCACATTCTCTATTGTAGATTTTATAGCATTTTTGGGTATCGTAGGTAGTGGAGGACTGAAATTTGATAACATTTTTGAAAGTGCTGAATCCAAAGATAAAGAGAAAATAACCCAATTCTTATTATTTAATAGTAATTTTTTGGTTTCAAAATGTCAAGTTATTAGTCAAATTATTTTTTTTGTTAGCACGGGTTATGTTTTACTCATTTTTGGAGTTGCCTGAAAAATATATTTTTCTTCAAAACTTGCATATATATTTAATGTCTTTTAAAGTATATATGAAAATATAATTTACATTACAATACATTTAAAATATATTTTTTTTGTTATTTAGTTAAGATATTAGTGTATATAAGAAAAATGAAAAGATATAAAATATTACAAATATTAAAAATATATTGCAAAATTTGAAGATTAT